GGCAGAGCTAAATGCACCCAAGCACATGGGACATGTGGGCAGCTTGATCTGGAGCTATGAGGCAGCTGGTTGCAGAGGGAAGCAGTCACACTTTAAGCAATGACTCCAGTGAATCTGTGCCTTCTATAAACAGCCTTCTTGTTCTTTCTGTTTGCTTTCACAAAGAAAGCAAAACTAGCAATCCTGCAGCAGTGTTTCTAGGTCAGTTTTCTTATCAAATAATCCTGAAGCCTGTTAGGCACCAGTTTTAAAGCAAATCAAGTATTACATGTTTAAAGAAAATGTCTTTCTTCACACAGAAAATAATGGCTATCTAATATGATGGCCATAGAAAATGCATTTTTGAAGCTGATAGGATAAATTGAAGTAAAGTGGGCAGGAGGAAAAGGAATTGGAAGTGGCCTCACTGGTGATAAACAGTGGAAGATCAGTCAAAGTGCACCACAAACACTCTAAGTGCTGCCACCTATGTTACCAAAGGTACAGAATTATTCACATACCTGGCCAATAGCAGTTACAAGCACGCTCAGCAGAGATGAGTGCCCACATGGACAGCAGCACAAAGAAAGCCAGGATAAAGAGGATAAAGCTGTTAAAGGAAGTAGCTAATGGGTATTAATTTAAAAATTAGAATTTAACAAATAGTTTGTCATTCCCAATGGCCAGTGCAGTGTTTGGCTTAACTGAGCATGAATTTGCTGTGTTTGAGTCCAAAATTTACTGGTTCAATTTTGCAGGCTAACAATCAGGACAGAACATCTCACAAGACACAGTGCTTAGCATAGGCAGAACAGATACTTCTAACATGATGCTAGGCAGAATGCTAGGTACTTGCTTGTGAAACTGGAAAGCAAATAATGAAAAAACAGTCTGAATGTACCATCATTTAAAGTACTTAAATTGGAAGAAAGTCAATCTATGGATTTACAGCCACTTTACAGCTGTTGAAAAATTGTAGTCCCTCAAGCTGAGGTTATCAATGCATCTTATTATATGAGTCATTAGATTTCTTCTAGAGCTACTGGGTTTCTTATTTGAAATCAACCTTGAACAGAATTATTTGCTGATAAGGTGATTGTAAACCCTCACTGTAACAAATTCAGCATATCTGTGGGCTTTCTAAGAGTGATAATGGCTTTTCTTTGGCTACATATTATTATCCCTATATACTTCCAAAACCTTCCAAAGTAGTTCTGACATGGGCTAGTATGATTCAAGCCAATCATAAAGTAACCCTAGTTACTTTAGCAAATGGTTTTGATTTGGGAGCAGTAAATTTGGATGTCTTGGACAGATGTTTTTACTGCAAATGAAGTGATAACCTCATGGCTGGTGTCAGGACTTGAGATCTGGAGGCTTTGCTAGTGAGAGCTCTACTGCACACAAGCAATTGTGGAATTCCCAGAAAGCACTGCACATGGCAGAGAGGGGAATTCTCCAAGGCTGGGCAGTTCCTGTGTTTTAAAGTTTTGCTGATGTCTCTGTCTTGTAAAACATCCAGAATCCATGCTGGAATGAGGCTGATTAATTCTTAATGCCCAGCAGCAGACATCTGCTTTCAGCGCACACTGCACCATTCCTTTTACAACCTGAAGACACATACCAGTGGCCCCAGTCACACTTCCCATGCCAAGCTCATGCCCACATCACAGTGTCCCAAGCATCTTGTGCTATTTCTCTTAGACACAAGGAAGCTGCTTCTCTGGCAGCACAGCTATCTGCTCCCTCCCTGGCTCTGGCTCAGCACTTGTGTCTGGGACCATAATTCTCACCCCCCGTACAGCAAGCAGTATTAAATTGGCTAAGTCATGCTGATGTAAAACACACAAGAGGAAGAGGCACTGTGTATTTTGCTGGATCCCTTGTGCTATTCCACTTGCCTTTGACATTTGGCACATGTGGAAACATTCTTATATATAGCAAATCTCCAATGTTTCACTCATAAAATAACTGTTTGGAAGACATCTTGTTTAAAGATAACCACACATACATGAGGTTGGTATGTGCTACTGAGCTTTGACTCATGAACTGGGCATTTTTTATCCAAACAGTTCATCTACAAAGTCAAGGAACAAGCTTAATAATCAGCCTATCACAATCACCAAATGAAAGTATCAGCACTATAATGGAGTTTAACTGTATTAAATAATTTTATCTAAATACTCAAAATAACTTTGATTAAACAATTTAAAAACTTAAAAAGTGGGTAAACTTTAAAATGAAATCAACAGTAAAAAAAAAAAAAACAACAACAACAACAACAACAACAACAAACAACATCAGCTTTTTCTTAAACTTCTTTTGTTTGGAAATGTTTCCATAATAGATTCACCTTACTGACATCCAAAGACATATAGAGCATGCCACATAAAATACCTTAGAGAGAAGCAAATTGGCCTTCTAACGTTGGCCAACTTAATTTTATTGGTATTACAATGACACAGGATGCCATCTTACCATCCCTATCCATTGCCATTAAGGATATAGCTTTTACGAACAGCAACTGTATATAGGGAGCAGGTGAACTCACAACTGTCATTCATTTGTTACTTTTTAACAAGGCTCATAGCATCACTCAGGTTGGAAGAACCCTCAATAAGTCTTAGCAGCAATTTGTTTCTGAAAAAACTGCTCTGTACATTATTCTTTTGGCGATCACCACCAAACACTGTGATGAGCAGATCCTAGAGCTATCAGAGACAGAGCTTTTCTGATGCTTTCTCCAGACCATTCAGTTCATTTTCCAAATTAATTGAAGTGTTCAGCCATCAGTTACTAAAGAAGCAGTTGATTTTGGCAGGACCAGACTTCAGAGCCTTCTGGCAACTCTCCTATCAGTTCCCTGCTTTGCTAAGGAGTCTACCTACGTTGTACACTTGGGCAGTGATCTGCAGGCCGATAAACCAAGGCACAGAACTTGGACAGTAGATTTTTTGGATTAACAGAAGCTACCCAAAGGAATGCATAAAGGTCAACTTCTACATATTTGGAAATAAGAAGCAACGTTAACGCAGAAATAAGGTTAGACTATGTAGCTGATTATTTTAAAAGAAAAACAAAACAAACCAAACAAACAAAAAAAGAACAACACCTCAAAATATTTTAATCAGTGGAGCATGTTATTTTATTTCTAATATACTGGCTCAAGAGGAAGAATTTTGTCCAGCCAGTTAGAGGCAATATGTGCACTTCTCAGTAATTTTTTCAAGTTCAAGTCACTTGCAGATGAACCCAAATGCAATGAACTCAACATAAATGAAACAACAGGAATGAGGGTCATCCAGTCTAATAGAGCAGAGAAATTCTCGTATCTCAAACATACCTGCAACATCATTTTAGAACGAAATGACCTTCTCAATCTGGTTTAAAGGACAAATATGTTTCATGTCTCCTTATTTTAGGGCTGGATTCATATGATCTGTCACTTACACTGAATTATTTGTTTAAAAAAATGTTTTTAAAATCACTGGAAATGTATATGGAGTCATCAGGGACAGAGGAAAATAATAGCCCAACTGGTCATGTATTCCCTAGAGAGATTCCCTGAGCCAAACTTGCTTTCATTATTACAGCAGGACCTTTTACATCAGCATGGAGGTGGAGAGAAAAGAGGCAGGATTGTTTTATGGTTCATCCTCTGGCATTGCTGACCTGAGCAGCACGAGCTCCAGCACTGCACACAGGGCATTGCCACACAAACAGCACTAACAGTGGGTCAGTCACTGAACACACATTCTCATTCTTAGGACAGTAATGGCACTTCCTTAGAAAGGATGAGTAAGAAGGTCACTGAAATATCCTGTAACATGCTGTATCTAACTGGAAAATGGGCTTTGACCTGCTATTTTCTATTTCTAAATATTTGGGGATTTGAAAGTTCAGCCTCAAGCACACATTTATCTATGGCAGTTCAGCTGTCACTTGTAATACAAATCACAGAATGATAGATAGCAGAATCTACCCAGAAGTTCCATTCCTTCTGGGGTTATTCTGTCCACAGTGACCACTTAGCTACATCATCTGCATCTCTTCATTGGCTTTCCTCACCACAAACTCTTTACTTTTTTATGAACTAAATCCACATATGTAGATGCATATATAACATTCATCTTCTATAAAATTTATCTGGTCTTAAACATTTTAGCTGGCAGATTTGTTTATGCGCACTGTACCTTCTGACATTATCACATTTCCTACTGCCACATGAAGATGGAAAAAAAGACATAGCATCCTTACATTCATCTTATGCTGTACTGCCTGTGTTTCTGTAGACTTAGCTGCAAAGCGTATGTGCAGAAGAAGGGCTGGATGAATATTTGAAAACATTTGTGAGGATATACTGATATTCATTTCTCACTGAATAGATTTCAGCTGTGCTCATGTGCAGTCTCTATATGCTTATTTCAAGCAAACACGCTAGTAGAAAAATTTACTGGCAGGAATGGCTGTATAATAGTTACAATTTACGCAAATATTTACAGTAAGCAAATTTTTTATATGCAAGTATTCACAGAAACTTGACTTCTCCAGCAGGAGAAACAGAAATGGGACTGTCTATATAGCCAGCCAGAGTAGCTCATGTTTAACTCACAGTACTGAAAACTAGCAGTAATATATTCAGAACAAAAGAAGGAAGATGAATTATTATTGAAGTGATTAAATGATTTCTGAATTACTTCTAAAGTCCACAAAACTGTAGCTCATAGACTATTTTCAAGCAGGAAGTTGTCAAATGAAATGGGTCATTATGCTAAAATTCATCCAGTCCTGCCTTGTATGTTAAATACCCCACGGTGTGTGTGTAATTTTCCAGAGTCCAATGAACAAAAACTGGAGGGTCTAATTTACTTATCTTTCAACAAACGGTGCTTCAGCAGTAGCTTCTTTATGCAAAGTTCTAGCCATAGGATGGTTTTTGTTTTCCTTCCATGGTAGTAGCTCAAGTGTACCTCAGTGCTTTCTTGACATAAATTATATTGCAATTATTTCAATCCTTCCAGTTGACAACTGACTTGATCTCGAACGTATTCACCTCCCTTGGCTCAGTAACGCTGGCTTTATTGATCCTCTTCTTGGCAGTTGTGGTTTCAGTCATTGCTGCCAATAAAAGGTCGAGCCAAGGAACCTACAGCCCCAGCCGGCAGGAGAAGGACGGCGCCCGCGTTGAGATGTGGAGCATGGTGCAGCCACCGCCAATAGAGAGGCTCATTTAGGGGAAGGCTCTCCTCCACCTTGGAAGATGAGTGGAAGTGGACGATGTGCACAAGCTAGATACGTTCATTTGCATTCTGCTACTGGGAGCACCTGTTGTAAAAACTACAGTGACTTTGAACTTTGAATAACTTCCTTTTAAGTTCAATAACATTTAAAATGTTCTAGCATTTAAGTGAACCAATGCCATCTATCACTATTTTGGGACATTTTTTCAAAGGACAATTTCATTTGCACTGGAAACTTCAGCCTTGGTAATCTGCAGTAGGCATTACAGACAGTAATGGCTTCTGTGATACTTGTAAGTGCCTGTCTCAGACTCAACACAGGAACAGCTTCTTGTTTGTGCTTTGCTTTGCCTGCCTAGCAATCACTGCTACAGAAGACAATGCAGACCCTAATCAATAAAGACATAATTTTGTTATTAAAGGGTTTATCACTATAACTGTGTTTCAGCATATTGTTGATCAGGGGTTAAAAGGAAACGTGCAGAAACTCTCCAAAATAAATGTTTCCTGTTTAGCTGGTTTTCTTTCCTTCAATTCTATTATTTTTCCTGCTGCCACTCTACCTTCTGCTGAAAAGAATTTCCCTTAACCTCTCTGACAAATCCATGTTTCTCTGAGTATAAAGGCTATGTCTTAAAATTCCCAGCAGACAGAACCTGACCTTACAGAGGACATAAAACCAAAGCATCCTAAACAAATTTTGCAAATCTATATAGTGCCATTTTCTCATTATGATATTACTTGATGCTTCATGTCATAAAATAATTGCATCTCACTTTGCCAGCATCCTTTGGTTGCCAAAAAGGCAAGCGTGCTCAAAAAAGTTTTCCAAAGCTCACAGAAAATACAAGCAGCAGCTTAGAGGTGACGCACCAACTTAGAAATGATGAAAGAGTGACTCAGCACTGAAAACAGCCGTGGTGATTCTTGTGGAGTTCAGACTTCCATGTTAACAAGGGAAAGTAAATTTTTGTGCCCGAATGTTCCTCTGTTGAGACAGCAATAATACCAATGTAATCCTTGGTAGCAAAATGATTGAAACTGTTTGTTGAAAAAGAAACAAATATGTAAAAAGGAGTGGAATAACTGCAAATGTTTGGAAAATATGTTGTAATTAAAAGAGACTTGAAAATCTTCAAGAGCATTTAATAATCAGTGGGAGAGAGGAAAGAATGTGCCAAAAATACACTCAGGTTAAGGTTTTCTTGAACTGTAGGGGCAGATAACAGTAACTCATCCAGCTAACTTTCACACGTAGTGAAAAAATTAAAGCAATAAGACATGGCTCCCACACAAATTGAGCCAACAATAAAGAGGCAACAGAGTGGAAACTTCCTTATGGAATTTGTCTTTCCTGCAGCTCAGATTATCTGATCCTGCCATTATAAAACATTCCAGGAGTTGCATAATAGAGCACACATACTCAGCATCCAAGAGTTTAAGTGATCGTTTTAACTAATGATCAACTCATAATACATTTTGAATTAACCTCTCTGGGGACTATAGAAGATCAACGTCAATCACATTTATTTCCTTATTAGCTCTGATAGCAACTCTGATAGTAAGCACATTCTGCTTATTTTTGCAGTCTTAACAGATATCTTTCAAAACAAGGCACTATAGTAAACGATAGCGGACGGTAGGATTCAAATTGAGTTAAAAGAACAGGGTGCTAATGGTGGAATGGCATCACAGCATGAATGCACAACAGATTTTACTCGAGCCCAGATTACAGCTTTACTACTGGAGCTTATGATTTTGAATGCAATCATTCCTGTACAACTGCAGTTTAAATCTACAGTGCAAATGGCAACCAACTAAAGAAAGAAAGTCAACAAAAGTTAACAAAATAGTTTATAAGTTAATAAAAATATGATGGTAAAAAGAGAGAGATTCAAGGAAGTTCTTTTGAAATATTGCATTCCATAACAATGGCTGTAAAGCTTTTAGTCAAAACTCATTTAGCCCAGCATTTGCCCACTACTAAGAAATAATAAGGAATGCTATAAAATTTGTGCAGCATTATCATTTCTTGAAATGGATATATATTTGAAAAAAGAAGAGCTGGACTCTAAGAGTATACAACAAGAAAGACAGCAGAGAACTGTGTTTGAGGATGAGTAGTGAAGCAGGAATGTTTTGTACAGATTCTTATACATGTGATTGAAGCTCACCAAAAAAACCTACAAGGGATACAAAGTCAAAGCAACTTTCCAGATGGCGAAGATGCACCATAAGCTGTGAGAACAAGAGAGTGAACAAGTGGAGAGGAAGAAATGGAAGGTTGAGGGCTGGTTGAGGGCCTGAGGAGAGAAAGCTTGGAAAGTGAGGGGGAATCTAGAAGCAGGAATTGGGAGCAAAGAGCAGCGGTGGCTTTGGAACAGTAAGGCAGATGCAGAGAATGTGCTTCCATGTATCTGCTTTATATTCCCGAATTTCTGCTCAATGATAATGGCCATATAGGCTAAAAGGAGGAAAAAAAGTGATAAAGATTTTCAAGTGAATAGCAGAGATAGGAAAAGAAAATAGAAGTGAAAGCAGTGGAAGGATGTAATAAAGATCTAACTTTGAAATCAACCCTTCTTTGAGCAGGAGGTTGGAGTAGATGACCTCAGGAGGCTTCTTCCAGCCTAAATTGTTACACGATTCAAAGAAAAAGGACAACAGAGAGAAAGCAGCTGAAGATGGAGGTCAGTCTGCATGAAGAGCTAATGTGAAGGAAAGCGTTATTGTTCACAGTGAAAGACACAGCAAGGAGGAGGAAGTGGCTGGAAACTCATTCTGCTCTGCTCAGTGGATGGACTTTCTGGATGAAATCTTGAAAACAGTGGGAAAACAATCTGTAATAACACATTCAGGAAAGTGTTATCACACAGAGAATCTTCAGGGCTAAGAAAGATATGCAGCAAAGGGTACAGAGAGAGGAATAGAAGGAAGATGAAAGCCTGAAGAGTTTTCATAAAGACCAAAAAGAGCTCTGGAGATATACATTACAAAAGAATTAAAAAAGCACCCATAAAAGCATAAAAATTGGAAAATTCTTACCATGGAACATGAATGTGGTTTGTAGAAGGAAAATCAAGAAGGGAGAAAGTGAGAGGAAAAACCCTTAAACTAGGATTAGAATAAGTCAGGTGTGACTGATGTCTGTCTCAGTGGAAGGGAAACGGTGAAAATAGGAGTGATGAAAATTCTTGCAAAAGTAAGAGGAAAAATGGGAATGAAAGCAGATGACATTTGAGGAAAGTGAAGGCAAAAGCTGGATCACAGTCTTTCCAGTGCAAGGGTAAAGCTGGGCATTTGTAACAGTGAGGTCATGGAAGAGGGATGGAGAGGTTGGTGGAGAGTCAGAAAATGAGGTCCACCCAGTGAGGCAGATCTGTGTAGGATAAATTAGGAGTGACTTTTATTGAAAGTGGAAATTAAAATGTGAAATATTTTAATTGCTATTTATGATCTTATAAGAAACAAATAAGAAAAAGCCCCACCAGCACAAATTCTGTTCTAAATGTACTTTCTGAAAAGCTGAATTAGAGAACAGCACCCCAAAAAGGGCAGGGAGTCAGACTCTGCAGTTGGAAAAGTCTCAGCACCTGGAGAAGCAGAAAAAAAATCCCAAAACTGTGGTTATTTAGCAAGCTGAAGTGACCACGGTGAAGAAGCCTGACCCTTTTGGGCCACACCTCAGCCAAGAAACAACAATTAAAACAAAGGGGAATGCACCACAGAGTGTCTAATACCGTTTTTGCTGAAATTTCAACCAAGGATTAAGCAGGTGCCAAGCTATTTACTGCTTCTCAGCCTAGGTGTGTAATAAAATACATAGTGAAGCACACAAGGAGAAGCAATAACATCTAAGAGTTGTGGAGAGCACCTGCAACTCCACACAGAAGACCTAAAGTATTTTGAAAATGCATTTTCTAAATATCTCTATTTGACTCAAAAGGTATAAGTAAAAGAATTTGTTCATAATCACTTGCAGCCTATCCATCCAGGAAACAAATGCGTAATATGGTCCCAGACCTTACAGATTTCAATTTTCTTTTTATGTCTATCAGTCTTTTGCAAAGAAAAAGGTGCTAAATTAAAGCATGTGACCTGCTCTGTGCCACATCCCTCTGAAGATGCACAGAAGCATGGAGAGAATTAAGAAATTGACTCCTCCCCTTTCACAATCCCGCCCATTTTCTCTTGGAAAGCGGTGACACCCAGCCTGTGAAGCAGCAAGGAGAGCCTTCAGACAGCTAGAGGAAAGTTTATGTTAGAAAGAATATACATACTGTGGCTGCAATTTGGCCAGCTCCAAATGATCATTGTATATTGTTACGTTATGTGCCTTCTCCGTCTTATGTAAAATTAACTGTTCCTTCTCTGCATGTACATAGTATATTTATAGCTTAGGTGGTGTATGTTACTATGTTCTGTGTACAATACAAAAATGACTAATAAATAAGAATTATAGTGAGCCCCATCTGACCTATATTTTTTGCTTTATTTAATCACGTACTTACAAAGGAAATTATTCTCACACCAGGACTATATTTGCAATTTTAAAAGTTCAATTTGCGGTTTGGAACCAAGTGATCAAGAAACATTTTCCCTATATGGAAATGAGGTGAACATACTTTGTGTTTCAGAGCACAGGAACTGCCCCATTCTGTGCTGGCATCTGCACCACTGCCAGCATTGTGTTCATCCCAGGGAGAGACATTGTGCCACAGCCTAGGGTGGCATGGATCAGAACAGCTTGCATGGAGCTAATTTATACAAGCCAAGATTCTCATGTTCTAGATTTTTGGTGTTGTTTCTTTTTTCTCGCTGCACCTCAAACTCCCCTGCACCTCAAACCTGCAGTGGCCCAAATTGCTCTGCTCTGTTCCATGAGCAGTGTTACACACCACTACTTGTTTATAACTCTGTAACTAACTGAAAATATTTTGTTTTTCAGAAGTTTGAATAAAACTATTGTTCAAATGCACAAGTTATTGTGAGAGTGAGTACTGAAGTACGTCAAGTTGAGAAGTTTAAATCAGCAGTACCCTAAAGCTGGAGAACCTCTCAAAGCTAATGTTCATGCTTTGCCAATATTTTAGTAGCTGGACACAGGAAAACTTTGCTCTCCCAACCAATTAACACAGTCAGCCATAACTGAACCTTCAAGCTTTTACAGAGGAAGCATTGCTTTTCAGTACTTTCTTGAAAATGAACGCTAACACCAAGTGAAGTGGTGCTGAAGTCTGGCTAGTGACTGCTGTTCAACATACGCTATTTGATAATGAACATAATCTAAGTTATAGTTTTAATTAAAGAACGTAAGTGACACACTTTTAAAACAACCTTAATAGTGCAGGCCCACAGCAGAAAGCTTGTCTTCAGAGAGGAGACAGCCAAGTCTTTTTTCCAGCCAAAAATTTCTGAGCTATGTTTTGTATAACTTAAGCCCCACGTCTCCCACAAGTCTCAGTTCAGGACAAATATTACATTTGTGGTGTCACATAATGTCAG